AACTAATGAAGGTGTACGTGGAGGTTTGAAATTTTGAAGAGGGTGTTCCATGAATTGATTATAAGAATACAAGTTAAAGAAACGGGGAAGTGGATAATTGAAGAACGGGCTCCATAGCATTCCACTGATGAGTTTTGTAGGTGGAGTTCAATAGGCGTCGGCAGGACTTCATATTTCATTCGAGTTTTTTACAAGAATATTATTAAATAAAACTCATTTATATAAATATGACTATTCATTACTACAATGTAGAGGGCCTTTTTATTCCAATATTACTAAAATGAATGAAAAAGATAAAAAAGTGACTTGTTTTAAATTTTTCAAAAAATGTGACTAAAAGCCATTTATTCCTTGTTTTTAATCATATAAGTATTTATTATTTTAATATTTCTTTTATGCATTTGATTACTAGTCCTAACCACCCACCCCTGTACAACCACTGCCGCCGCCGCCGCCCCCGCCGCCGCCGCAGCCGCTGGCGCCACCGCCACCGCCGGGAGTCACTATCTCAGTGACTCCGGTCAAAGTGACTCCGGCCAAAGTGACTCCGGCCAAAGTGACTCCGACCAAAGTGACTCCGGCCAAAGTGACTCCGGCCAAAGTGACTCCGGCCAAAGTGACTCCGGACACAGTGACAGTCTCCAACTCCGGCCACCACCGCCGCTTTCTGACCGCCGCCGTATGGCCCACCTGACTTACCACCGCCGTCGTCCGCCCCCTCTCCAGCCCCCAAACTCCCCTCCACAGCCCATAGCCCCCTCCTTAGACCCTTCCCTACCTTTCCCTGGCAAAAATCCCACCGAAGCCATCGCAGTACCTTTGCCTAGGTGAAACCTAGCTACATCATCGCCTATGTCGACTAGATCTAAAATCCGTCGTGAACTATGCACAGATCTGGAAAACCTAGACGACAATCTCATTCTACCATGGTGGTCAATCTCTTCACCGCTTCATCAATCGGACAAAGATTAAAGAAGAAGAAGAAGAAGAAGAAGGAGGAGGAGGAGGAGGAGGAGGAGGAGGAGGAGGAGAGAGCCGGAGCGGACATCGATGAAGGCGGCGACGTAGAAAGTCGGTGGAGACGCCGACATGCGATGCCGACAGAGGCTGCGAATTGAAGGTGGAGACGACGACCGATGGAGGTGCGATGATGTTCGATGGATGCTTCATTGGGAAGAAGACGGAGAGAAGTTCGTTTGAGGGAAGAGGGGAAGTGTTCGATGGAGATGCTTTGCTGAATCGCTGTACAATCCGTATGTTTTAAATGGATCACTTTTATGGAATATGGGAAAATTGTCATATTTTATGAAATGAAAACTGCAATAGTGATATGCGGGCAATTTTTTCAATATTTTTTGTCCAAACATATTTATTCTGGTCATAAATATGCTCAACAGATGATCTACTGATCTGAATCACAAGACATCTTAATTTTATTTCATTTTTTAGTTTTTTAGTTTAAATTTTTCATTTTTCATACTTTATTAGCTGACCTACTAACATTTAATCTTCTTATAATTTCTCTCCATCTCAATCCATCCCATTCATGGACCGTCCCTAAATATCCCATTTTTTTTTTTTTTTTTTCCCTAAATATCCCATTTTTTCCTAAAATCTCCCTAAAAAATAAAAGCATGTCTTGATTAATGAGTTTATTTGAGGATCATTTTGATGATGTGTAAGAACTTTTTAGAGTGTGGTTGAAGACGTGAGATTATTTTGAAATATTATTTAAAAAAATTACTATAAAATATCAAATTCTTGAGTATTCAAGATTATTTAAACTTTCAATAAATACATTTAATGCGATCATGTCTTTTAACTTGAAGAGTTGAAGTTAGCAAGAAGCTTCATATAAAAAATTGAACAAATAGAGACCATGATTTAGGGGGAGTTCATAAGCTTTAATATTGATTGAAATTTTCTTATATGATAATAACATGCCAATCATAAATCAATCATAAAAACCCTTTGAAGAGTATGGATAAAGATGTTGTAATGAAGCAGAGTAGTTGAGAAGTAAATAATCCATGTTGCATCAATGATTACTTCATCACTCTATCTTGTGATGGAAAATTATGTAATTTTCAATACAGATTGATAGCATCACAGGCTCACAGTACGTATGATTGGTATGAATAGGGGTGGACTCGGGCCGGTTCGGGCCTGGGCCCGGCCGGGCCTCAGTTCATGAAAGGGGAGGCCCGGAACCGGCCCGGGTAACCCCCGGGTCCGGTTCGGGCCGGGCCGTGCCTCGGTTCAACTTAATTTCTTTTTTTTTGGCTTTTCGTAATTAACCCCCAACCTTCCCTCCTCACCCCCAAACCATCCCAAACCACCTCAAATGGCACAAAATACCCAGCCCAACCCAAAAACTTAAAAAAAAAATCAAAAAAAAAAAAGAAAAAAAAAATAGGCCCGGACCGGGCCCGAACCGGCAGGGCCGGTTCACCTTTTCAAGGGCCCGAGCCTGGCCCGGAACTCCAGCGGGTCGGGCCTACCCGGATCGGTCCCTGGTCGGGCCGGTTCAAACAGTGACCGGGCCGGGTCGCCCGGGCCGAGTCCACCCCTAGGTATGAATTGAAGTTTGCTTTGAATGCACCAACGGAAGCACCGTTAGAAGAATTTATTTTGGTATTAATGCGAGGACAGTTTGCCGATAAATTAAAATGTGGAATGAATAAGGCCATGCATGGAGTACTACAATAGTTATTACTCCCTCTTTCAATAAATTTACTTAAATACCATATTGAAAGTAATGAAAGTAAAAGTAAAATGGTATTTCAATAAAATAATGCTATCTCGTCCCTTAAAACATTATCTTCTTTCACTTTTTTGGTTGTTTAAATATATTTTGGTTCCTATGATTTTGCTTTCCTCTACAAAATATAATGGATGGATGAAGTAAACATTAACGAGACAGTGTATATTATAATGGTAATGATCTAATAGCAAAACATAAATCTAGATGATTTGTAAAAAAAAATGGAAGAATGTAAGAATGTAAATCTAGACGATTTGTGAATGCAAGAATGTGTGATAGGTGAATAATTAAAGACACCATGTATTCATGTGTGGAATAAATTTAGAGATAGTTGTTGAGGTGTATTTAAGAATATCACTCCGCATTAAATTTAGCTTAGATCACTTTAAAAATATCCTTGATAAGTAAATTTTATTTCGGGTGTTTGAATCTGATTCTTAAAACTGCTTCTGCTCTTTCAGGGAGAAAATGTAAAAGTGATTCTGATGCTCTAATTTACTTCTAGAATAACTTTTTTAAGAAGCTGCGGGAGGCTGAAAACTGATTCTGCTTTAAAAAGAAGCAAAAGCAGAATCAGTTTCAAACACCCCTTATATACTTCCATATTCGAACACGAATTCCGTAAGCATATCACAGATTTTCATGTGATTGTGATATGAAAAAAGGATTACGGAGAATTACATTATTGGTTCCAAGTTACTGTTTCCATTGCTTATATGCATAATGCATCCTCTATCTTTAACTGAGAATAAAAAATTCAGATTCTGCTTGAAAAAAAATGAAAGAATAAGAAAGAATTTTGTTGTAAAGAAAGAAGAGAGTTGTTATAGAACAAAAAAGGAGTATATACAAACCACAAGCCATTATTACATTCTTCTTACTAAAGTCATCTCCATCCCTCCAAAAAAGTGCCCAGATTGTTACACACTTGGTTTTAATATATCCTTGGATTAAAAAGTTCTCTGATTATCACAGAATAAAATACAGGATTCACTTTCATCCAAATACAAAAAGACCAAACCCTCTTTTAGCCCACTCCACACAGGAAGCTCGCTCCTGTCCCACACATACATAGACTAACACACACTCACTCAGACACACAACTAACTTGGGCGGTCCATGATGGTTGGGAACGGTATTGTTCGGTGCAGTAATAAAGAAACTCAGATATCTAGGTTTGGATTGGAACAATTATTTAATAACTTATAAGTGGCCAAAGAGTTCTCATCATGAACATAATAAGATTATACTAAGAAGTTATAAGACTATCCTCAACCTTACTACATCATTAAATCAAATTCCCAACTAGTTTGTACCAAATTGGTGTATTCATTAAGTCAATCCAATTTTTTCTTGCAATCATGCACCATCAATATATTCACTCATCAAATTTTTTCAAAGAAATTATATAGGCAATATTGTTATATGAGTTTAAATAAAATAAAGATCTTTTTTTAACATGGGACTCATCTCCTACTTTTTGTTCATGGGTCTTTTCTCCTACTTTTTGCTTTTTCTTCTCTCTCTTGGGAGTGAAAAGTGAGTTGGTTATTCCCCACCCTAAGTTAGCCATTCACTTTTCCGCCTTTCCTATACCATTGATTAAACAAGAAATTGGGGTGAAAACATTAAATTTATTCTTTTCACTCCAAGATTGCAACTAGTCTAAGTGGCCAAAAAAGTTAGGTGTACATCCTTTAACTTGTTTCCAGGTTACCCTCTCTTTAGAAAGTACCACTTAGGGGTGGGCATATCAGTTTTTGGTTCGATTCTTATCGGTTTCACTTCCGTTTTGTTTGGAATGGGTTGTAAGAATTATAACCAAACAAAAACCATACTATTTTTCGGTTCGATTCAATTCGGTTTGGATTTCTTATTTTCTAATAATGTATGAAGGTTTTATTGAATTTCTTTAGTTCAGTTCAGGTTTGTTCAATTTTTATCGGTTTACGTTCGGTTCGGTTTAATACGGTTTGAAAGAAATACTACCAAACTCAAACCAAATTGCATATGGTCCAGTTTCGGTTCGGTTTAGTTCGATTTGGTACGGTTTGGTTCGGTTAAACCAAACCAATATGTCCGTCCCAAGGTTTGAAATTGCGTATTGCGTTGTCATGGCGTTTTTTTCAGAATTGCATATTGCGTAAGCCTCATTGCGCAATGAGGCGTATGCCTGAGGCGTAATATACACACACAAATATATATATACATATGTGTGTGTGCAAACACAATAAAAAAATAAAATAACTTGCTCACCATAAGTTTTCAAATGTCATATTAAAACAAATTATAATGAGGCCATAATCCTAGCAAAGAAAAATGTTTAAAGTACCACAAGATAGGAAACATTCTTGAACTGCTATCATAACAAAATCCCTAACATACTAAAATTTTAAGTTTATTAGATTGATGGCGGCAAAATCAAATCATCATTATCTAGTAGTTTTAAATAGGGATCACAATCGCAGAATATGCTTATTATAAAAGTTAAGAAGTGGGTCGATTGAGCCCAAATAATACCCTTACACCCTAACCTACCATTGCGTACGCCTTATTGCGTATGTGATATTGCGTAAGCCTCACCACAATATTGCGTACGCCACACTCCCAACGCAATATGCAATGCCTTTTATGCCATAGTTCGAGAATTAGCTGAGGCGCGCCATGAGGCACAATTGCATTGCGCAATTACAAACAATGGTCCATCCCTAGTACCGGTGTATGAGTAAGTAAATCCCATCCTCAACCATCCTTGCCATTTTTTTGCAATGAAACTATTCGGAAGTCCTCGAAGAGTCAAAGAGCACAGAAAAACCATAACTCTGTTGATAAGTTTGGCAAGGAGAGAATTATCATTTACTCATTCAAAAAAACGCCATGTTCAAGTTTTCCAAAGAAGCAAATAACAAATTCAATATACTCTGTAGTTCCAAAGGTTTATCAAGCCCCAGTCTTGACTAGAAAAGCTATAAGTGCAATATGCTCAAATCTCTGTGTGCTTCCATTGATGTACTTTTTTCAATAATGCAGTTGATTTTCAAAGCATCATCATAAGTTGCAGAAATAAAACAATCTCAGTTCAGTTTAAACTTTCAAGCAAGCTCATATATATACACTCCCAAAGTGGCATACCTCCATATTCACTACCTTATTGCCATATTGGAGCAAATCTTTTATGATGATGAAGCAGTGGCAGCACTCAGGGCTTTCTGCAATTCACTCTCAAGCTCACTAGACCTGTTTTCATTAGTCACTTTTGTCTTGACCTCTTTCTTCCCATTGTCACCCCCATAACTCTTTTTGTTCCTCCACTGCTCAAGACCACTTGAGCTCTCAACAATGGGAGCTACTGTCTTCTTCCCAACACACTCTTCCTTAGAACTGCCTGTTTTCAGAAAATGCCCAGTTTTCATAGTTTCCAACTTTGCTGTCATCTCTCTGTTCTCTCTCTGCAGTGAATCCAATTCCTTCTTCATCCACAAACACATCCCTTTCAACAACTCCACATCACTCCAACTCTTCTCCTTCTTCAGCTCCTTAACCTCGTCGTCAACCCTCTCAACCCGAACCTTATTCAGATTCAGATATGGCATCCGATTCCCCAAATCCTCCGGCAAATTCACACCCCACCGGAAACTAATCAATGCCTTCTTTGTTATCAGCATTTCAGTCCTGGCCATAATGGAAATTCCCTTAACCAACGACTCTTTTCCATCCTGGACCGTGGAGAAGTCCTTGAAATTCGTAGGCCGGTCCAATGGAACAAACCCAAATGAATTTGACAAACCGTTGTGCTTAGGACTAGGGTTAGGGTTGGAAGAAGTAGCCTTCTTCAGAGAGAAAGAACCAAATTGAGGTTTGAGGAGTAAAGTGAAAGTCGGGGCGGGCTGGGGGTTCAGTGGGCACAACGAGAAACTGGCGCAAATGATAAGAGGGGAATTCTTAGGAGACCCGAAAACGCCGATTCCCGATTTGAGAGACAGTGTTAGCGGAGGTGCGGCGGAGCTTGATGAGGAAGACGAGGCAGTATAGGCGAGTTTCAGATTCGGGCCGGAGGAGAAGTTGGTGGCGAGGGAGACGGATAAGTCAGAAGGGTATTGAGTGGTAGTGGTGAAGCCAGAAATAAAAGGGAGGTTGAAAATGGCAATCGGGATTTTAGCTCTGAGAAGGAGTGGCCGGGTTTCGAGATGGTTCTGGTGGTTGCTCAGCTGCTGCGGTTGTGGCGGGGAACGGCGGGGGTCGTGAACCTTGAGGGAGAGCTTCATCTTGTTTTGCTCGCTTTACAGTTCAGTTTCTTTCATCTGCAGAGGAATCGGGAGAGAGCTTCGCCAAACTCCCAGCCCGATTTCATTTCCGGGTTCGCCGAACTCATTCCGGGCCAAAATTCATGAACCTGCGGTTGTTTGTTTAAGACTTAAGTTATCTTTGATCTGGTTTGAACTGGTTTGGTCTGATTTGAAAAATGTTTGTTTTTTGTATATTTTATAACTACAGAAGTCTGGTCTGTACGGGGACTGAAAGTAGTTCAAGTAAAAACATTCTTAGGTAGAGTTGAGACTTTTAAACCAAGAAGTGGAAAATCGAATCAGATTGAAACGTTATCACCCGATTCGGTTTAATTACAACATTTAAGGAGTATTTGTTAATGGTGGAATTTATATTTTTTTTATATATATGCTTCAATTCTTGATTCATGAATAAATATGTATTTGGAACCGTTAATAAATCGTTATATATTTCGTATATAATAATTAAAATTTTATACTGTGTATATTACTTATTAGTATCTAATAATTCATCAATTCCAACATCCTCAATTGCCTAAGACATTTAAACCTTGGTATTTAATAATTTATCAATTTTGGTAGTCTATACAACAACGGCTTCCAAGTCATAGTCCCAAAAGATATTGGGGTCGGCTAACAACATCGTCGGCAAACATCACGCACCATGGTATTTTGTCTTGAATTGACTTCGTAAGTTCATCAGTGACTATGACAAATAAGAAAGGGCTCAGCGCCGATTAAAATAGAACATGTGTTAAGCTTTTACATATGACAAAGGTTTGCTATCTTTCTAGTGGTCACAATGGTAAAACACTTTATTTGAAGCCTCAGAGTTTGTAAAGAGTAGATAGTTCATTATGGACATGATTCAATAAAGCCAGTTCTATACCTATGTTACAAGAACCGAACCGGACCGGACGGTTCGACTCGGAAACCGGCGAACCGGACTCAATCCCGGTCCGGTAGGGAGTGAAACCGCTAATGTAGCGAAAACCGGAGTTACCCGGTGGACCGCGCAGAACGGGCCCGGAAACGGGACGGCCCAAACCCGCGAAACTCGGTCAAACCGGCCCAGGAACGAAAAATTTGTTACCGCAGCCGCAGGGATTTGAACCCTCGTCGCTCGCGAGGAGAGAATGACAGCAGACCAAGAAGCTACTTCAACTTGTTGACAAAGTATGTGCTTTAGCTAGTTTTATAATCATTTGACGTATTATTTGACTTATAAAAGTGTTTTGATTGTTATTCTGCAAATAATAATCATCATAGTAAAAATAAGAACACACATTATCTCTATTATTAGAAGTAAAAACATGAATATAATATTTTCAAATTTTGTACAAAGTGATATATTCATATTTATTGTCTTTAATTTCAAATACATTTTTAAAATGGTTAAAATTTGTAAATTTCAGAACAATTATTTTATTTTTCATGTTTTTCGAGTATTATCAATACTAATTTATGATTGAAAATTATATTCTCCTTAAAATTTTAATTTTGATATATCCAAATTCTATGTTTTTATTTTAGTCAATGTTGACCGGGTTAATTAACCGTTGACCGGGTTGACCCTCCGGGTCCGGGTTGACCCTTGACCCGATCATCACTCCGGGCCGCCTTCCGGTCCGGTTTTTACAACATAGTTCTATACCATGCTACGTCCGTGTAAGGCATCAAATGAATCACAAACTAAATTTTAGACCTTTCGTGTCAACAAAGTGTTAGACCCCTTAACATTTCTGCAAAATATCTCTCTCTACCGATAACTCATTCAATATAATGGGGTATAATTTTGTAGTGCCACAAATTTTTTAGTATCAGTTCTGTTGGGATATACACTCTGGCCCAATACAGGCCCAAATATCCCTAAGAGCCCAAAACACAGGCATACCATCAACACAAATAGCCACTTCAGGATGACCGTTTGGCAATCCGACGCGGGCATCGTCGTATGGTCCGTCCCCCTCACTAGGGCTACTCTTCTCAGTCTAGTAACCGCCTAATTCAGAACTCCTCCATACAATTCGCGGGAAATCATAGAGTTACGATGGCGGAAAACGCATTTAATTAGGGGTGGTTCGGTACGGTATACCGAATATTTTTCCTCATACCTTTGTCGTACCAAAACTTTCGGTATACAAAATTTATATACCGTTACCTTACCGAAGTTTCGGTATACCGCATTTCGGTATACCGAAGTTTCGGTACGGTAACGGTTCGGTATCGGTAAATTACCATAGACTAATAAAATACACTAAATCGGTGTTACTAGCGACATATTTAATCCATTGTTAAAATGTTTTAAAATACAATTAATAATCTATTGATATCATATTCAATATTGAACAATAATTATTTTTAGTATATTTAAGTAGTTCAACATGCCACGTATTAAAAAGTAATACATTCTCCTAAAATAACTTGAATAATATAGATATAATTAAATCAATCGTGATCTCTAACAAAAATAAATAAATTTTTCAAACAATATGGATATAAAATCATTTATTCCTAATATGATTGTGTATTTAGTCATTTTATAATTTTAAAAAAATATTTAAATAAGACTTTCGGACAAAGTTGTATGTTTTGACTCGCGGAATCCCTATGTAGATACACTCGTCACACTCGTCAGCAGCTCAGCCACCACGACTCGCAAGTTCTTGGGACAAGATGGACTTGTTTCTATACATTAGTATATTACTCATTAGTCATTAGGGAAGTTTATTTGAATGTTACGTAATAGAAGCCTAGAAGGTTATAGTAGGTTTGGGATATTGGACCTTTATTTTTGCATTTTGATATTTGTAACCAACCTAAGTATTAAGTTTAGGCTCCAAAGTTGTAATTGACTTTTACAATATTTTAGAATTTAAAGTAATTTTTGGGTAGGGAGTCGGTACGGTATTATACCGGTATACCGCGGTATGTGAAAACACTTACCGTTACCATACCGAAATAAATCAGTACGGTATCATACCGTACCGAAAATGACGGTATACCAATATTTTGGTATTTTCCGGTATTTTTCGGTACGGTAAGTGCGGTATACCGATTTTTCGGTATTTTTGCCCAGCCCTACATTTAATGCATCAGATATGGAAGACTTTATGGTTGGGAATTGACCACTCAGGGTCGGCCACGACACCCCCATCACATATTTACCTATAAATAGCAGCATCTATTTCATTGAAAAAAGTTGACAATTTTGTATTCTCAAGCATTAGACTTCTCTCCAGTTTTCTCAACAGTTTTGAGCTTAGACTAGAGGATCGGAGCCCCGCTCGATCGGTATAAATGTTGTAATTGTTCTATTGACTTTGAATATAACTGGATTTACTTTTGCCTCTAATAGATTTGTCTTGCTATTTCCTTGCCTTAAAACGCTCACTAAACAATCCGCTCTACCTAGTAATTCCAACGAAAGACAAAGGAATGTGTTGGGCCTTTCGATACCAAGGACTAAACCCTCAACAAATTCTTATAATGTTATTGGTTTTATTCCTATTTTATACTTTAATATAAATGATTTATCGCTAAAGATATTGTTCATGATCTATAGTCCAATAATATACTACAATCACCATTAATCTATAGATAATACATTTGAAGGTTACAATTAAGGAAAGTGTTGCCACATGTCAATTCCACAGTTATTGTATTAAAAAAACTTTTCAAATTAAAGAAAAGCTCTAATGCTTCATACGATAGTAGTAGTATTTCATATAGGAATGGTACTAATGCTACTTACCACTCCAATTATTTAGGGTTTCACCAAAATAAAATCACATATTACGAAAATTATATCAAATTTTATAAATTTTTATTATCTTTCAAATGACACCAATATTGGATATACAAAAATAAAAAATAATTTAACACTCAAAAACACCTATTTGTTTAAATTTATAGAACTTTTTTATTGAATATATAAAGATAAAAATATTTAAACATTTTTAAAAAAAGTATCTGTTTTTTAAGTGCTACTACAACTATTATTAGATCAAACCAGGTAAGAATTCGACAATCGCAAAGTACACATTGAACAAACGCGCGTATACACGATCGGTTCATATGAAATCAGTCTACATCAGACTAAACAAATCAGACCACACAAACCGGACCTAAAGATTTCAAACGAACTGACATGTGAAAACATACTTTCTCTCAAACATAGATTAACACAATTATAGGTAAATACAATTTCACGACATATATAAATTTTAGACTCCTACTTATAGAAATCTTACTCAAATCACAATTAACATAATTTCACTATTTTTATACACGTTTCCCCCAATCTAAAGTTAAACTTTTCTCATTATTCTGATCCATATGAATTTTCTCCCCACTTTTCAAACCTATCTCCCCATGGCATCTTTGCAAAATCTATTTCGTGTACTAACACCCGTAAAAGAGATCTACACAACTATTATTAAATCATTATTCAATGATTTGTCACTGCTAATTAAATTACTTTATAATCATGTTTTGATAAAAGAATTAGAATCATATGATTTAGTGAGACATTAAATAGTCAAACCACTAACTATAGTATATAACAAATCTCCATTTAATACTTTTAGTGACTCTTTTTATCCATTAAATTCATGCATACCTTTCTTGGTAACTGATACGTTATATGTTTAAATATGTTATAACAAAAGTTAGACTATTTTACCAAATAGATATAGTTCATCCAAAACTGTTCGATCTAGTTTAGAATTAAAACTTATAAATTGAAATAAGGGTTAAACTAAATTAAATCAATTCAGAATCAAAAGTTAAAATGAAATGGTTATACTAAATTTAAATAGTTTTTCTTTAATTGAGATTTCAATCAGTATAATTGTTTAACAAAGAATAACCAATACTCCTTATTCTTTCAATAATTATTTAATTGAAAACTTCCTCTCCGTAGATACATTCTTCCACCTTTTTAGAATATTTGGGATGTTTTTAATTGGATTAGTTTTAGTTTCATACCAGGTTAGACCAAAACATACTTGATCAAGTCATGCTAGACTTTGACAGTTGTAAAATACTTATAGAACAAATATATATCAGAGTCGACTCATTCAAATCAAAT